GTTTAGAGGTTCAGGGGTTAGGGGTTTAGGGTTTAGGGTTCTTGATTTTGACAACTGTAGGTTACTATAGGTTTTTAAGGGGTTTAACAAGCTTCCATGGGGCTATAAAGGTATGCGGACTTAGTTCACTAAGGGGGGAACGGGCTGAGAACCGAAGCAGATTCGGTGTTAAGGACACGTGTGTCAGTCTGCAAGCGGTTGGCTGAGGTCCTAGGTTGGTGCGGGCATCGGTCCGGGCCACAATCAGGAAGTCCGGGGATGTTCGCGCCTGCTCATCAACAACATCGACAGTTACAACCCTGACCAGTCGAGTCTTTACACGGTTCACTTCCGAGATTCCGAGGTGGCAGCACTCATCAACTTGTACCGTTCACAAACATGTATGTATGTATGTATGTATGTATGTATGTATGTATGTATATATATATATATATATTATACTATAAATATTATATATATATATATGATGGGTGGAACCGTTCTTCTACTGTAGTCCAAAAGCTTACAAGTCCACGGACTGCAACATTCCCAAAGAATGCTGGCGACGAGAAGCTCTTGGCAAAGCTTCAATGAATAATCGAAAACCAGGTCAGAAAATCGCAGCTTATGCGAAACATGCACACCGGAGGCTGCGTTACCAATGCCATTAGCCAGCCGTGGTGCATCGGAGACAAAGATGCTTGGACAGAATGTGCATTTCACATCCTTCATACTAAATGCTCTGCACCCAACCCAAAGTCACCACAAGCCTCGTGAAAGTTAGATGCTTGTCCCGCATCGGGCCTACCACCCTCGACGGCTAAGACATGGTTGCTGATTCTGCTTGCAATGATGGTTGCCACTGGATTCCAGCTTGTATATCTCCGTGCACCTCTGCCGCAACACGAATCTTGGCCACGGCTTGCTCGAATGGAATCACCTGCCGGCACTTACTTCGAGTATACCTGTGCCAGCAAGATAATGCTGCAGGTCTGAGCTTAGCTGCAGGAATCCTGGCTGCTGTCGTGGTCCGCTTCGTGGTCGTCCTCCTCCGTCGCCTCGTCTTCGTCGTCGTCGTCGTCCTAGTGCTTGTCCTTTTGCTCATCGTCGTTCTCGTCGCTGTCGTCCTCATCGCGGTCGTTGTGATCCTCCTCGTCGTCTGCATGAGTCGGTCATCGTCGTCGTCATCCGCGATTCCTCTCTCAAACTGACCCTGCTGATCATCACAATGTCTGGTCTTAGTATGCTTCTGAACACTGCACATTGTCAGTCTGACTTTACTCACAATTGCCATCCCTACTTGCACGCCCTGGTACTACTAGCTATTCCGAGTTGAGCAGGGGTCAGGGTTCAGAATCTCAGAAGTCGAGTAGCATCCGAGCCTTGCGCCCCGGGGTGTGACCACACTTCTTGGGGAATTCCTGGTCCTGCCGAACCAAGCCATGACGCGAAGGGGCTGACGGCAACTGCCTAGTCGCGTCTGCGACACGCAGATGCCGCAGCTCTCAGCTAGACCTATATGGGGGCTTCCGAAAATAGGGGACCCTAATATAGTACCCCAAATAGTAGGATCCTTATTCTACGCACCCCAAAATAAGGTACCCCTTACTACTTGGGGACTTTGGCCGTCCTCCAGCTGGATGGCGCTCGCACCTGCCTCTTCCTGAGGCACTTTTGAGGTTGCACAAAGAAGTTATAGTATGCCACCTTCTGTTCACGCAAGGATCCCGAGGGCTAGGTCACCAGCTGTCATGGCCGCCAAAACAAGTGAAAAGCGCAGCGGTAGCGGAAGATGTCAGTACTCTTGCGGATAGAGGCGCATATCCCTTCACTGTGTGCGCCACCTCAGGCGACAGGATCTGCTCACGCCTGCAGAAGCATCCTGTGATGAACTTAGTCTAGTGCTCAGGTACCGAGTCGCATTCAGTAGGCCACCAAAGCCTGTGTCGCCGTCGCAAATGACGGGCACTGACGTGAGGGCCGTGAGGGTCCGCACCTCAGCTTCGAGAGAACCCTTGCTCCACGTCAAGCTCTAGGCTAAACGCTGCCTGCTCCTTATTGCTCTATCTGGGTCGATTGCAGAGCCTGGCTGCCTGCCACTGTACAGAAGGTAAGCTGTGAAGCTTGCAACCGGCCGACCCTCTCCACCATGTCGCGGTAGGAAGCAAGGCCGGCATCCGGCAAACCCAAGTGACTGCCCACGGTCCCGAAGCCTGACGGCGGTCGAGCACGTTCATTTGAGAATGCAATCCGGATACCTTACGTGCATCATTTTAACCGTTTTAACCAGCTAGCACATGCTGACGGCTTGAATACTAAAGAATGACTGGTCTCCATGTCAAAACCCCAAATCAAACGTGGCATGAAGAAGAGGAACCTCGTCGAGTTCTGACAAGGAGACGGCAACCCTCCTTCACGCCACTCAGCACAGAAAGCCCTGGCCTGACCCACTGCTAGAGCACAGACTTGACATGAGAATGCAGCCCAGCCCTGTTCACATCTATTAGCTCATTCTTTCAAGACCCGGGCCTGTCATGTACAGGGCCTTGAAGCCCACCTGACCAGCTGCGAAGAAGTCTCACCAGATGTGATAACGGTGGCTTAACAATATTATTTGTATTACTACTACTATGACAATGATAGTAATCATAATGATTAATAATAACACTAAAGAGATGCATGTGTAAACCAAGTCTGGTGGACAAGTGGCTTCCGGTTATTTCATGCCTTCGGGCCGCTGCTGTGGCTTGTCCTGTCTGTCAAACTACATATGTACGTGTAACTAACTACATAGATAAATCAGTTCGTGTGTATATATATATACATACACACACACACCAGCATATGTGCATGAAAAACATGCATACGTATGGGTGTAGATATGTAAGGAAGTACATACACACACACACTCTGTACATACACACGTTATGCATACGACATGTATACAGACATGCGCTGTCGATGTCTGTCTGTCTGTCTGTCTGTGTGTGTGTGTGTGCGTGAGGGTTGTGCTCTGATGTCGCAAGGTTTGGGAGCAAATTCTGTGATCTTCGACCGAGTAGCGACAATCAAGCGAGCAAAAAAGCCAGCCAACTACATCTGCAACTGCCGAGAACAAGTGTCACTTGACCATGCCTGCTCGGCCACTCTGGCAGAAATGCCATCCTTGACTCAGGAGTTCAGAATGCGAAAGGATTTGCAGATTGTGCATAAGCGTGCATGCTGCTAACACACACACACACATGCACACAAACACAAACATACTCAAACACAAACACTGACGCACACACACACACACAAACCAATATAAAACACACCCACGCCTGCCACACACCCACACACGCACGCACGCACGCGCACACACGCACAGGTATGTGCATGTATATATACATACATATACACACATATATATATATATACATACATACATACATACATACATACACACACATATATATATATATAAGTACTTATTTATTTATTCATTTATTTATTTGTTTATTGAACTATTTATACTATTATACGAGACGTATATATACCCACACACATACATACACTACATGACATGTGGCACACACGCACATACTTGCATGGTACGCACACATGCTGTATGTATATGTAGGTGCACATACATACATACATACATACATATATACATACATACATACATACATACATATATATACATACATATACATATACATATACATATACGTATATATATATATATGTGTATGTATATATGTATAGATAGATATAGATACATACATGTATACACACACATACGTATATTTGCATAAAAATAAGTGCATGTGTGTGTGTATATATATATAAGTGAATAAGCACACACATACATCCATACATTCATACAGCCATACGTCCATACATACATACATACATGCTTACATGCATGCATACATAAATACATACGTGTGTATATATAATATATATATATACAGATGCGTGTATGTGTATGTCTGCATGTGTCCGCATGCACTGTGTATGTATGTGTATCTATGTATGTACGTGTGTGTGTACATGTTTGCATATTTGAACTCCATAAACCTACACATCATGTCAAGGCATATGTGCTTGCAGGTTTGCATGTAAGATGTGAAGTGCAAAAATTACAGGGCATACTGCATTGAAAGGAATGCGCGAGCAAATGGAGCCTCGCAGCCTCGTGACGTCGGAGACCCTGCCCCAGGCATTCCCTAAGTGTAGCAAAATAACTAGATATCTTGGCAACCTGCTCTCTACCTCCTATGACCCCTCTGAAAACACGACTTCCAGCAGTGGCACGAGTTGCGCGACCGGCATAAAATCCAAGGCTCGAAAATGCCCGGAGCAATCAGCAACTCGCCCTTTGCTAGAAGCGATTTGAGGCTCGGCTTGGTCGGCGAAGCCATGGCTGCAGACTTATCGCTGCCCACGAGCTACAACTGCGCAGTAGCTTTACATATACCCTCATGTCCAATGGCTATTTCCAGTGAACATTAGGATAGCTTCAAGGTGGACCGCGGCTTACAAATCACCGCTACTGTGACCGGCATCAAAACATCGACTGCATGATGTGCGCTGAGCTGTTGAAACGCGCTCGTCAAGAGACGGATGTGTACCCGCACCAGGACATCCTCACTTGATCATGCTGGACCCTCATGTTCTGGCATACCTCCACCGTAGCCGATCGGTCCTGCTCCGCAGGACAGAGGCCTGAATATTTGGAATAGGGCTTGGGGTGTCTAACAGTAAAGGTATAACGGTATAAGATGTAAAGAAGCTTCCATTTTAATTCAATATGCATGGTACATAACATGAGCTGCGACCTCGACCCTCGAACCCCGGCCTGCGTCTGCACCGGCAACAACCGAAGTAACTGAGCCTGGCAAGAAGACCAGCATTGGGTGCCGGGCGCCGGAGTCACCATCTGAAGCTAAACAGCTTTGTGCTTCGTCGGGCACTTGCAGGCAGAATTGCACCAAATGAACCAACATCGTGACAAACTACTCCAAGAATTAGACTTGATCGCAGCACAACGCACGAGGGTCAAGCTTTCTGCAAACCTGCCTCAGTGTCGAGGTCGCTGTCCAAAGTGCTGCGGTCCTGCCCCGAAAGTAGAAGTGCGCAAGGCTTCGGCGTTGTAGCCAAGCTAGGGCTACTGCAGCCTCTGCGGCGACTGGAAGTAGTATGGCGGTAGCAACAGGGAAGTTTGAAATAGCAGGAGCGGTAGTCGCAGCAACACTAGCAGTAGCAGCGGAGTGGCAACAGCACACTAGTTGCTATAGTACTAACCCAGCACTACCACTACCATATGGTGGTAGTGGTAGTGTGGCAGTGGTCGCGGTCGTGGTCCCGGTAGTGGTAGTGGCAGTAATCGTGGTAGTAGTCGCCTTGGTAGTTTCCATCAACCGCTCCCCGTCGAACTAAGACTATGTCATGTTCTGCCAGACCAAGGGCATCTTCACCGTGGTCCCGGAGTTCATCAAAGCCCTCCGGGCCTGGACGGAAGCGAAAGAAAGCCAGCCAGAGACGATCACTCTGCCAATGCGAGCCTTTCTGCTGAAGCAGTGGCTCGAGCTCCTCAAGAACCGCTTCGAGGCCTGCCTGGCCACCGAGGAATCGAGAGCCCAAGCGGCGGAGATGCTAGTGCTGGACTCCAGCGGGGTGGTCCCATACCTCGAATGGGACCGGCAGGCCAAGGCCATGAAGGTGGAGCGAGACCGCGAGCCGATGAGGGGAGCAGGTCCTGGAGCTGCTGACTCGCATGCAGGCCCCTAGCACTGCAGTCGTTGGCGGTAATGCGCTACCACGCGATGCACAAGCTCAGCTGGCAGATGAGCAGCGAGGTGGTCCCCATGATGCTGGAGATAGGCGGACGCACGCCAGAAGCCAATCGGTTGTGGGAGGACTTCAGCCGCCCCACAGTGCAACCACGAGGTGCGTAGCAGTCTCCCTGCGCCCAGACAAGATGGGGAGGTCGGTACTGGCCACGGCAGTGCAGAAGCTTGCACACTGCATGTGCGCACCCTACAGTTGCGTAACCAAAGCATTCGGTGCTATAGTCACGCCTCTTTAATCTCACTCTGCTGGCTATGGACTTCAACTTCAGGTCATCCAGCTCTCGCTGAGACGCTCGCGCCTTGGCTGCTGAGAATCAGCCGCTGGCATTGTGCCCAGACTCATGCGGTCACGCTGTGGCAACACATTGCTTGGAGATCCCTGCATGTCGGATGGCGCTCACCCAATACGATGTTGTAGAGTATCTCTCTTTTCTCAGGCCACTCTTGGGTACGCAAATTGGGTCCGGTAGGTGGCAGCCCAGACAACACGTTGATGGCACCTGCCCTGTGCTTGACGAAGACGACACCTGGCCACTGCTTTTGCCAGCGCCGCTGCTGAAGCTGACTGCTCAGGCCGAAACGGTGCTCTGAGTCTAGGTGCTATAGTTGCTAGCCCTGCCCTGACACGTCCTTGATGTGCCGCTTGGCCAAGTAGAGTAAGGGGAAGGACAGGGAGTGCCTTGGGTCCGACGGCTTCGAACTGGGCCATGGGTAAACTTACTTAAGGATTTGGGATGGATGATCCTACAGCTCCGTTGAGGGCAAGGAGCTTGGACATGTTCTGGGCAACTTGAATAAATGACTTCGTGGTTGCGAGTTTGGGGCGAAAGCTGGCGCAGCTCTCGTCGCACTATATCCGAGATTCATCTCTAATGACATCCAGCCAGGCTGACAGTTTGCAGCCACTGTTCCCAGTGGATTCCATTGAGTTCCCGGCATCTCTCGGTATCTTTGAAGCAGGCGCTTGTAGCCTGCATGCGATGCAAGCAGATCTCGTCCAAGTCTCGTACGTCATGGGCATGCCGCACAGACATGTGTACACAAAGATGTGAGTGACATGCAAGCTTATGGCGCAGGCCATTTCCCGTCCTGATTCCCTGTCCATGAGCTGCTGCAGCTGCAACATCCGTGACGTCAAGCTGGAGACAAAGATGGACATAAAGATCAGGGTGAAGCAGGCCTCGCTCTCGCTCCAGCTCATGACTTCAGAAACGGAATTTAAGCCGGAGCCACGTCCACCAAGTGCTTTCAGATGAGCTGCCGTGAAGCCGATGTACAGCATCTCGACGAAGGTCCTCTCCTGACACGGGGAGCGCAAGGGATGCGGTGTCTCCAAGGGCAAGTGGCAGTTTTGCTACCTAGATATCTAAAGCCAGGGAAAACTTCGACGTATGGAGCATCCTTCCCAAAACAAACCTCACTCCACAGGACATCGCGGGTTCTACGCCTCCTGCGAAGCGGAATCAAACTTCCGAAGCGGCTCATCCCCTGAACACCTCAAGATGTCTGTCCGGAGCCGGAGCCGGCCTGTCTGTCTGTCCGCCCATTGAGCTGGGCCAGCGTCCAACGGACGGCTGCGACATACCTAAATCAGGGCCGGTTCGGGCTGGGCTCCCCGGTGCATGTGTCTACTGTTGTAACAGCAACCAGATTGATGAACTGTCTGGCAACACACGAATCTGAGGCTTGACGAAGGCAAGCTCCCAAATCGCTGTTTGAGTCAATCATCGCAAGATCGCACCGCAAAACAAAAAACGGACAAGCTTCATTGCACAACCCCAAGGACACACAACATGAACTGAATTTCTTCTTGCACAGGGCCCACTGACTACAACGCATTGGTTTGGCCGAGACCATAATCAACCAGGAATCTAGCGTCGAACTCTGTCAGCCCCCAATCCTGTCTTAAATCGCCATGCTGCAGAAAGCCCCCCTCTGAAAAAGCTCTTCGTTTCTGGCATTGACACGTTGTTTGCGTCAGCCATATGCATCATGTTCATGGCATCTGTCAAAAAGAATAAGGAACTGCTGCTGATCTGGAAGCGCCGCGCCTGACCATCGCGGGCGCCTCCAGGAAGCCCTCCTTGTCAACCCAGCCTGTGGAGCATTGGGTCACCGTGAAGTCCAGGAATGGCAATGACAACGCAAAAAAGGCAGGCATGTCTTGATGATTTCTTGGTCGTTTGTTTGCACTTCCTGCAAAGTACAGGGACAGCCTCGAGAGACCTGCCGATGCTGTGACTTAAATCAGCGTCCGAAGCTTCCGGCCAGCAAGTGAAAGCCACTGGGGCTGTAGCATGACGAGCAACGACGTAGCTTCTTATA